TTGGCTAACTATATTCCCGGAAGCAAAAGAAACCACGACGATAAATCATATAACCATAAAAACATGAGTTAGAGTACGAGTTGGTAAGGAGAAAGAACCTTCGACACTACTCCTATACTCTGAACCAATAACCTCCCAAGATTTTTCTACGATCCATAAGATGTAGAAGTTGTGCGAACAATCACAAGCCTCAAACAAGACCGAAGAGCAAAGCCAACTCCACAAACTGGAGTACCTATAGATGAACCTAGGACGAGCTTAAAGGGGCTTGGTTGCTGACCTGCCTCGCTCTATGTTCTCAGCCAATAACTATCAGACTGGGTCTATTAGCCCTGAACTCTTAGAAAAATGTCTAGGTAAAAAAAAAGGTTTCTTTAGCTTAAAGTCTTTCTCTTTACCTAGAACTTATGTTCGCCGGTCAAAGATTTCGTTGGAAAGGTAGATGACATTTCTGCTCTCGAGGAACGCCTTTGGACAGGTAGCAGGGGTCCGAAAAAGCATGGGAAAACACTCTTCTACTCTCATCTTAACGAGTCACAGTGCATATTGTTGAGCTATACATGCTTGCCTAGATCTCTGCTAAGTCATTAGCAATTTTTGTCGCTAGCCCCCTCGGACTGGGCGATGGCCTGCTGTGGATGGCCCTTTATTTTTCGTACATGCTTTTTTTGCACTTCAGATCGGTTTGTCTTTACTAAAAATTGTATATCTTTTAATCGTGCTGTTCAAATGACTTCAAATTGCCTCCAAATGAAAGTTAATTCAATACTCTAACTTGTGCCATGATTTGAGCTTGATCAGAAAAGACTCAAATTGCCTACCTCTTTATCTTCAAGAAAAAGTTTTACCACTAGACTAGTAACAAATTTTGGAAAATTGTGGTCGAAAAATATATTTAAAACAAAGACGCAAACCCAAACTTGCCTTGTTTGGGCTCGGGCCGCCCTGGTTGCAACCAAAATATCTTGTTTTCTTCAAAAAAACTTATAACCTAAAAAGACTATACAAAAATTAAAGAGACTTGATTAAAGCACAAAACACGATTTAAAATACATATAAGTTCGAATACGTTAAAAAATGCAACACATCATACATTCTTTCGACCAACTGTGTTGCAATTTCTAAATTGAAGATCAGATTTTTTTTTGAAACACAGTATTATTGCTTTAAGAATGCACACCTACGACCGAAAGCCAAAGGTAAGAAAGAATCCAAACCCAAACACCGGGGGAGTCGACTCATTTTTCTAATTGTTGAACCGCATATTCAGATTTACCCAAAAATCAATATCTACAACATTTTGTAACGAACAATCCCTTCCCAATTAAAATTAATTATCTTGTGAATTTCGAAAAATTTTCCTAAACAATATATTGATTTTGATCATTTGTGAAGTCTTTCTCTTTTGTTGGTCGTCTTGAGCTTATGTCATACTATGTTTTTGAAAGAATTACAAACTTTTGGTAAAACACATTTATCCTACCAAAGAGTCGAATCTCTCTGCTCAAATTTCCTATGGAAAGAAATAACAGAAGGTCGAAATGCAACAAGAGACAAGAGTATCGTGAGAAAACGTATGTGCATGCAAAAAAGAAGCTGAATTCCAGTGAGACAAGTCTTTGAGTCCAAGACCAAATGATCATCACAAATGCTCAAGACGTATATGAGTGGAGACCAAATGACCAACTATGCAACAAATACTCTACAGGGAACATCAATCGCCTTCTAAGAGACACAAACCCCCTCAAAGCCTCCCTAATGTTGCAACAATTGTTCTCTTCACGACGCTCTCTACCATTATCAATTTGTCTTTTCTTCCATCTACTCCATCTCATCTGGTCTCCATGATTTCAGAAATTGGGCCTCTTTCCCTCATAATCTGCTTAGTGGGCTTCGAGATATTAAAATTATTTTGGCTTTAACTTTGATTCAAAACTGGTTCTCTGAATGGCTATTAGTCAATTAGGCCTTTAATAGACTTTGTAGTTTGTAACATTTTGGTTCCTATGCTTTAAATAGAAGATTTTCTATAAAAAAACGAACAAAACCATTGGGGTTGTTATTAGGGTTTCCTTCCTATAAGGATGAATATATCTAACTATTTTACCGACATGGTTGTGTTACTTTTTTTGTTTTTTTGAAACTTTTCATCAACTAATTTTTTTAGATTTTTTATAATTTTTAGTCCTAACCAAACAATCCCAGAATTGGATTAAAAACAACATTAGAAATCCTAAAAAACCTAAAGTTCTATAGGCCTCATAGGAGATTTTGGCAGCCGCCGCCTCCGCGTTGAAACTCTGATGACCACAAAGGCCTTTAAACTTTGATTCAAAACTGGTTCTTTGAAAACTGTGAGTGGCTATTAGTCAATTAGGCCTTTAAAAGGCTTTGTAGTTTGTAACATTTTGTTTCCTATGCTTTAAATAGAAGATTTTCTATTAAAAAAACTAACAAAACCATTGGGGTTGTTATTAGGGTTTCCTTCCTATAAGGATGAATATATCTAACTATTTTAACGTGGACGGCGGATCCTACACAGTTGAATTTGTCAAGGGTTGAAAGGAGAACTGAGTCTTGTGAGTATGAATCACAAAGCAAAAGTCGAAGATATGTTTTATTGCTGTTTTTGCTTAAACTCTGTTTACAAATGAATACATCCTCTTTTTAGGAGATGATAATGAACTATATATAGTACTTCTAAGTAAAATGAGCCATCTAATAAATGGGTCTGGTCCATTAAGCAATATATTAAAATTAGGCACATTAATCTATTAAGCCCATTTTGTTAATGTGTTTAATGTTATTTTGGGCCTAGATTCAGACTGGGCCCTTGCAGGCTCGATCCGATTTCGGCAGGACGCTGCAGAGTTGATCTCGTCGTTATATCGATTTCATAGGGGAGAAATCCGACCCCTACATTTACGGACATGATTGTGTTAC